GAGGCATTGTTAGTAGGTTTGCAGGTGACACTAAAATTGGTGGTATAGTCGACAGTGAAGATGGTTATTTAAGATTATAAAGGGATCTTGATCAATTAGGCCAAGGGCTGAGGAGTGGCAGATGGTATTTAATTTAGATAAATGCAAGGTATTGCATTTTGGTAAAACAAACACGGGCAGGACTTATACACATAATGGTAGGACCCTGAGTAGTGTTGTTGAACAGAGAGACCTAACAGTTCAGATACATAGTTCTTTGAAAATTATGTCAGAGGTAGACAGGGGAGTTAAGAAGGTGTTTGACATGCTTGCCTTATTGCTCAGACCTTTGAGTGCAGGAGTTTGACATCATGTTGGGGTTGTACAGGATGTTAGTGCAGCCACTTTTGGAGTATTGTGTACAGTTCTGGTCATCCTGCTATAGGAAGGATGTTATTAAATTGGAGAGGATTCCGAAAAGATTTACAAGGATCTTACCAGGACTGAAGGATTTCAGTTAAAGGAAGAAGCTGGGTAGACTGGGACATTTTTCCTGAGAGTGTAGGAGGTTGAGGGATGACCTTTTAGAGGTTTATAAAATCACCGTGGCATAGAGAAGGGGAATAGCAAAAGTCTTTTCCCTAGGGTAGGGGAGTTCAAAACCAGAGGGCATTGTTTTAAGGTAAGAAGAGAAAAATTAAAAGGGACCTGAGGGGCAACTTTTTCACACGGAGCGGGTGCATGTATGAAATGAGCTGCCAGAGGAAGTGATAGATGCAGGTACAGTTACAACATTTAAAAGACATTTGGACAGGTACATAAATAGGAAAAGTTTAGAGGGATAAGGGCCAAAGGCAGGCTTGAGACTAGTTTGGGAAACTTGATAGGCATGGACAAGTTGGACTAAAGGGTCTTTTTCTGTGCTGTATGACTCTATGACTCGAGGTAGACAAAATGGAGGATTGAGAGCAATCGTCTGATGTTGAGAATGAAGACATTGGCCTGGAGGGTCATCTAAAAGACCAAGATAGAGCTATGCACCATAGTGTGTTAAAGGCCTGACAGAATCCCTTTCAAACATACTTTCAGGTGGGATGTGCTACGTTTTCACTTCCTCCCATTCCTTTCCTTGTGTTACTTTCTGTTGGTTCAATGGAAATTCCATGTGGAGCTGAATATTTCTGCATTCCTGGAGCTTTTCATTTGATGCATACATGTTTTGTTATCCATATGACTGTATGCATGGTATCTTCAGCTGTTCCCATTTTAAAGAGTTCTCCCTGCTGTTTGGGAGACAGCAGCAGTCAGTGAGACAGGGCAGTACTGTTGCTGAGGTTAGGGGGCCTTGAAGGCTTTAACCATAATGTGGACTTTGAATGTTGTGCATTCTGGGCACTCTTGATAAGCACCAGGTTGGGGACAATCATAAGGCACCTCCCTTGCACTATTTTATCCTTGGTTAGCCTTCAATGGTTCAAAGTTTGATAAGTTGTAGTACAATGCTTCAGCAGCCTTTAGGACAGTGTTTAATTTGAGAGAAACAATGCTTTGTACAGCTCGTTTCAACAGGCCATCGACCTATGAGACTGAGTGGAGTACATGGAATGGGTGGGTTGTCTTATAAGGAAAGGGTGGACAGGCTAGGCTTGTATTTACTACAGCCTAGAAGGGTAAAAGGCCACTTGATTGAAACACACGAGATCCTGGGAGGTTCGTGACAGGCTTGATGTGGAAAGGATGTTTCCTCCTGTGGGAGAATCTAGAGCTAGGGGTCATAGCTTAAAAAGAAAGGGTTGCCCATTTAAGATAGAGATAAAGTGGAACTTTTTCCCCTCAAATGATTAAATGTCTTTGGAATTCTCTTCCTCAAAAAGGTGGTAGAAGCACAGTCTGTGAATATTTTTAAGTCAGAGGTAGACAGATTTGTGGTAAGCAAGGTAGTGGAAGGTTATTGAAGGTAGGCAAGAATGTTGTGTTGAAGTTATAATTTGATCAGTCATGATCATACTGAATGACAGAACATACCTGGGGTGCTAAGAGCTACTCAGCCATTACTTGATATCATGTGGAATAAATCAATTGGGCTGAATGCTGGAAACTGTGATGCTGGGGATCTTGGGAAGATGCTGAGATGAATGCAACACTCAGCACTTATCACTGAAGATACTTCAGGCTTGTTGTTTGCACAGATATGCTGGGCTCCTCCATCATTGAGGATTGGGATATTTATAGAGCCTACTCCTCCTCATGTTTATTGTTTAATTTTCTATCCCTACTCATGACTGGATGTATTGCGAGTGCAGAGCTTAGATCTGACGCATTGGTTGTGGGATTTTTTTTACCTCTTTCTATTACATGTTGCTTCTTTGGTGGCATGCAAATTGTCTGAAGTTGTAGCTTGACCATATTGGTGCCTGATGCTGCTCCTGGCATGTCCTGCTGCACTCTTCAATGACCTAAGGTTGATCTCCCTGCTTAATGGTAATGGTAGAGTGGAATATATGCTGGGCCATGAGGTTATAGATTGTGATTGAATAAAATTTTGTTACTGCTAGCCAAAGCACCTCTCGATACCAAGTTTTGTGTTGCTAGATCTATTTGAAATCTATTATCCACTTTAGCACAGTGGTAGTGCCTCACAATACAATGGTGAATAGCCTCAATATGAAGATCTCTACAAGGACTGTATGATGGTGACTCAAATACAAACTCTATCACAATTGGATGCATCTATAACAGATAATTTGATGAAGATGATGTCAAGTAAATTTTTCTCTCTTGTTGGTTCTTCAATCACCTGCATCAGAACCAGTTTAGCAATTATGTCCTTTACGGTTCAACTGGCTATGGCACAACAACCACTAACATCCACTCAGGACCAGGTATGTATACTATCTACAAGATGCACTGTAGAAATTTACCAAAGATCCTTACACAGCACCTTCCAGACCCATGACCATTTCCATCTAGAAGAACAAGGACAGCAGATACATGGGAACACCACCACTTGAAAGTTCTCCTGCCAGGCACTCACCATCCTGAGGTGGACATATATTTCCATTCCTTCAGAGCGGCTGGGTCAAAATCCTGGAATTTCCTCCTTAATGGCATTGTGGTTGTACCTACATCACATGGAATGCAGTGGTTCAAGAAGGCAACTCAATGCCACCTTCTCAAGGGCAACTAGAGACAGGCAGTAAATGCTGGCCCAGCTAGTGACACCTATGTCCCACAAGTGAACATAAAAAAAGCTGTCAGTGGTGATGTCACTGAGTCATTCTTGGTGATGGACAATGATGGACCATTTTGTGGCTTTACCACCCTCAGCGCATCTTCAAATTGATTCTCAACAAGGAGGAGTACTGATTTATCAGCTGAAGTAGAACAGTATGTGATAATCAGTAGGAGATTTCCTTCCCCATGTTTGATCTAAGATCATAACACCATAACAAATAGGAACGGAGTAGGCTGTTCAGGGGTTCGAGCCTGCACCACTATTCAATAGCATCATGGCTGATGTGACGCTCCTTGCGTCCATTTTCCTGCCTTTTTCCCATACGTCTTGATTCCCCTACTGATCAAAAATCTATCTCAGCCTGAAATATACCCAAAGAATCCGATGCCATGAGATTTCCAGGGATCTGAAATCAATGTTGATGGCACCCAGGACAACTCCATATCAAAGACAGTGCCTCCACTTTGAAGCCCACTTTTCCACCCTTCCCTTCCATTCCAGCTTTCAAGCTATAATGGACTAGATCTCAATTGGATGTCTCAGCCTCACTCATATAAATAAATGTGATTTTGCCTGTCCGGTAGTGACTGATACTCATCCAATTTACAAGCAACATTCTCAACATCTTTCTGGAACTTTGGAGACTCACAGTCTTTCTCCTTTTAGCACACAGCTTGCTGCCATTGCTTCAAACTAACGCACACAGCACCTTGTTCCCAGTAAAATAATCTGTTTCTTTTACTTCTTAACAGTCCAACCGCGTGCCAGGCTTGCTGTCAGGCACATTTTGGAACAGGTCACATGATCCCATTCATTTTGTCTTAAAGACACTGTCTCACGAAATAATAATCTTATAAACTTCAGACTGGTAACTATATACTAATCTGATTGGGTAATGAATATTCTAGCGATCCGTAAAATGCTGAATTTTAATTTGGTAAAAACTAATAGCGACAATAATTAAATCGGCTGATGTTCTCAAGGTAAATACGATACTAATGCAGTTATAAGACAGCAGAATCCTCAAATAGTTAAAGTTGGTTGTGTGAGAATGAGAAAAATGTTTGTGAATACGTGTGTGCATGTACAGGTAGGGAGAAGCCTCTTCCTCCTTGTTGTACAAGAATATTACATAACGATTATATTGAATTACATAAAATAATAACATTTTATTTTAATATATTAAAATATTTTGTACTGGTAACTGTTGTACCTTTGTGCACTGTATGAATATTTATTGTGAACGAAAGTATTCTCCAACTGTACTTTGGTAACAAAATTATTATTCTGCGCATTTTCAAAACTAGTACAGTAAGCAACATTTGGCTTGAGATGCCTCAGTGCACTCTCTGTATTAATTGCTTGCTACGACTATGTAATTCGTGTGTTAAGTGAAGGTCTACGGGATAAACTGTTTTGTATTGGCTTCTAAATAAGTCATTACGGAAGCATATAGAGATACTGTCAGATTTAAAAGTCTCTCCCCCTACCCCAAGCCTTCTGCGAGCTTTGACGTCATGTGTGCTCCTTTCAGTTGCCATAGAAACTTATTCCCCAGGCTCTCTGTCTGTCTCATCTGGTAGGTTCCACACTGGTACAGGCAGCATTGACTGCACAATGGTTTAACACGGGTGATGGCGGTGATTCAGCAATCTCTCCCTCCTCTCCAGCAGCTCTCTTCTCTCTCTCCTCCTCCTCCTCCTTTCTGGGCATCCTCTCCGATCCATTGTGCATCTTTTGTGTTTCATTTTTCCTTTGCGAAAAGCAAAATGGTTTGAATCCGGATTGCAGTGGAGGGACTGTTACCATACCAGGATTCTCTTCAGTTGGCACGGCATGGTAGGTGGTTGATACTGATGCAGTGTGCTAACCTGTTAAGGGTGGGGTGATGAATATTGATTTCAGCAAAGGTTAATGAAGTAGACCGCTAGAATTGCATGAGGAAAGCATCCCAGCAAGTGGCAGCTGGATGTAGCCTTTTTCCTCTTATTGATATGCATCCATCTGGTAACTTACTGTCATTAGAGAATGTAAAATATGTGAGTAAAATAATGCTAAAGACTTGATATAGTGCATGCAAATTACTGTTTAGTTAATGTTTGAAAGAGAAAACTTGAGGAATTTGATAAAAGTGAAATTAATATTTTGCAAATAGTCGGAAAGAAACATTTTACACCTTTCTAGCCTTATAGCTTGACTCGTACATATAAACAACGAATTGTTTTAAAATAAATTTAGTGATGAATTAGCAAGTTTTGATATCAAGTGAATCGGATTCGGATCATTGGGGTTAATTGATTGTCTTTCAGCCTGTTCGAAGTGATAGAAATCTGGGGTCATGATTTCTGCTTTGATTCACGCTTCTAATTAATCTTGTGAAGAGATTCAGCATCGGCTGAAAGGAGGATTGGAAGTGTTTTGTTCTGGCCATACATCAGTATTGTCTGCTTGATAACATTACAAGGATCTGCAAAGGGTCACTGAACATTTTTTTTTGCTGAATCCGTTTGACAAAATGAGTATCCTGATCATTTTCTTTATCACATTATTTCACAATACTTGCCAATTTCGCTTTGAGATTGTCTGCAAGGATAGAACGATAGAGAGGCACAAACTACCTGGGGTGCATTCTTGATTATTGCAGAGGAAGGCGTTTTATACAGTGAGGGTGTTGGTGATTTCTCTGTGTGAGAATCTCTAGAGAGAAAGGTATATGCAAATACTGAAAATGATTATGACCAAATATGGATATACACCTAGCTCGTTTAGCAAATGTGATGGCGTCTTTTTGCACAGATACAACAGAAGTCTTTTGTGCTCAGTTTTAAAATGTAAGCTATTCAGTTCTTGCACATTTGATGTTCAGAGCTGGAGGATAGGCACTTGGAAATCTATTTCTCCTCTTTTCTTTAAATGAAATAATTGTGGTTAATTGGGGGAGTGGTCATGTCCTGGTATATACAAATGACGTAGAATTTACATTGAATGCCTCTGCTGTAACCTAAAGTTAAGAACACTTAGCCATTTTAGACTGCTTTGATATGATTTAATTTCTGCACATACATGGAAAGCCATAGATTTTCATAGTTAATTGCAGGAGAGCACTATTGCTCTTCAGAAAAAACAGTGCATGAGAATCAGAAAACAAAAACTTTAAAAATGTAAATCGGAAACATTTGTTTATTTTAAGTGGATCTTGAATATATTTTTCTGCCCTATTTTATGTAACAAATAATTAAGACGCTGTAGAGTTAATGGTGTAATTTGATATAAACACAATACTGCAGTGTATTTTACTTTAAATACTGCAGTCAAATTCAGAATCCTTGTATTACAGCAATATTAAACAGTTCCTTAAACTTATTCTCATATTCATCCTATGGAGAATAGTGTGAATTTAGGGAAACAATTCAGTCACTGATTAATAGACCATAGCTTATGGCATTTTATTGACTTTTTATGCCAATACTTTCTTCATACTAGCTGACTGAATGGTTTTCTAGGCTCCCAACTGATATGATGATTTAAAGATAGGAAAGGGGTTGGGTGACCATCTGACTTCATTATTTAAAATTGTCCCCTTGAATACTATTGGACTTGGAACTTTGGTTTCAGCTGTTTTGAATGGTCTGGAGTGGGCTTTTCATACTGAGGATGGAATACCACCATTTAGACAAAGCTATATTTGGACAAGATTGATAAATAATATAAAAATTAAAGATTGCCGAAGAAAAATCAGTTTCACATGATCAATTTCTACAATCACATTGTCACAGTATGATATCATTCTTAAAGAGAACCGAGACTGTAATGATTGTGATTTTGCCTGTTTCAGTTGTGCTGGAACAGATGTCGCATACTCTTCATTGTCATTACTGTATATTAATAAAAGGTGACATTAATTTTTTTTAACAATCTGTTCTGGCAGAAAAACAGCTTTCAAGAAATTTAGGCGCGTTGCCTTTTTGAACATCTTCACATGTTTGAATAGACAGATGTTAAAAAATATGAAGTTAGGAATCGGAAATGTTAATTATAAAGACCACAGTTTAGTTTTCTGCAGGAGGCACATTTTTGCCAATAGCTCAAGATGCCATTGACAAGTTCCATCAATTAATCAGAAATCAAGTCATGTAGCACCATTTTTGGTATTAAATGCTCCTCCTTGCTACACACATTTCCAAATATGGGTAGAGGGTAGGATGTCTACTCAGATAACTGGTTGGAAGGATAACATTCAACAACCTGGAAACAGTAGAGGTACTGATAGTAGTTGACAATGCTTTAACTACAGAATAATTTATGTAAACTTGGGCCTTGCACTGCTTGTTGGATCAAATTCTGATTCATAATGTCCCCTGCACACAGCTTGCAATTTGCTGAACTAGTGCAACATTATGTGGTGCTACTTTAACCCCTATATTTACTGAATGTGGAAATGGGTGACCAATCCTGTTTGGGTTAATTTCTCAATCAGCCTTGTTCCCACTTCCTCACCATTGATCATCTGCCGTATCCATCACGCAGGAAATCTGCTTGACATCAAGATTGCATTTGATTGAGTGTGCCATCAAGGAGCCTTAGCAATACTCGAGTGAATGCAATCGGGGGAAACTCTCCATAGGCTGAAGTCATACCTGGCACAAAGGAAAATGGTTGGTGGTTGTTGGAGGTTAGCCATTAAAGCTCCAGGATATCTCTGTGGGAGTTCCTCAGGAGAGTGTCTGAGGCCCAACCATCTTCATCAATGATCTCCCCTCCAGATCATTGGTGGGGATGTTTGCTGATAACTGCACAATATTCAGCACCATTTACAACTCCTCCAATACTGAAACAGTTCATTTGCAAATGCAGCAAGACCTAGACAATATCTAGATTTGGAATGACAAGTGCCAGGCAATGGCCATCTCCAACAAGGGAGAATCTAACCATCATCACTCATCATTACCATCACTGAATTCCCCCACTATCAAATCCTGGGAGTTACCATTGACCAGAAACTGAACTGGACTTGTCATTTAAATACTGTTGCTCCAAGACCCCATCAGAAACTGAGAATTCTGCAGTGAGTAACTCTCCTCCTGACTACCCAAAGCCTGTCTACCATCTACAAGACACAAGTCAGGAGTGTGTTGGAATACTCAGTATTGAGTACTTGCCTGGATGGATGCAGCTCCAACAATACATGTGAAGCTTGACACCATGCAGGACAAAGTAGCTTGCTTGATTTGCACCAGATCCACAAATATCAACTCTCTCCACCACTAAACCTCAGTAGCTGCACTGTGTACCATCTACAATAAGCACAGCAGAAATTTACCACACTCCTTAGAGATCACCTTCCAAACCCACAACCACTGCCATTGAGAAGAAGAAAGGCAGCAAATAAATGGGAAGACCACTATCTGCAAATTGCCCTACAAGCCACTCACCATCCTGACTTGGAAATATATCACCATTGCTTCAGTGTTGTTGGGTCAAAATCCTGGAACTCCCTTCCATACAGCATTCTGGGTCTACTTACAGCAAATGGACTGCAGCAGTTCAAGAAAGCAGCTCACCACCACCTCCTCAAGGGCAACTAGGCAACTAGTTAGAAGTGCCGGCCAAGCCAGCGACACCCACAACTCATGAATGAATTTTTAAAATAGTAATGAATGATTCTTGACAGCCAGACTTACTTCCCCCATCTCCAATATTTGGTAACTAGTAAATAGCAATTTTAAAATTTGTGGAATAAACACATGTTTCTAAAACAAAAGATCCCCATGATTTTTATCGTAAATCACTAGCAGCAGTGTCCTGGCGACTGATTCTTAATTTTCTGGAGACTTCAGAACAATCTCGATGGTTGAAGACTTTATATGTTCGATATTGAAGGCCTAAACTACATCTATGGTCCTTCCCTTCAACCTTAACTGAGGGCTGCTATGGTTCTGCCTTCTAAGTTTTGTCCAGAGGGATCAACCTGCCACACTGGCATGATGTTAATGTGATCTGAGGCCCAATATCAAGAGCCCATTGAATCTGTCAATTCTGGTACTGATATCACACCTTGTTCCTCACTGCATTGACAAAGATGGGCACTCCTGAGTAGGATGTGCAATAACTCACAACAATTTCACTAATTCCTATCATTTTCAATGTCTTTTCCTTGTTGGTACAGATTTATGTTCTATTTGATCTTATTAGGTAGGTCAGAACTGCACAATAGGATATCTATTATGTTTTTTAATTATGTTCCTTTAACCACTCTTTTACTGAAGATGTTAAATCATTTATTTTAAATATTGATATATTACTAATATAGCATAGTGTAATTTCAAACCAATACAATGAAGGACTCCTATTAGGTATGATTTAAATTACAGAAAAATAAATAGCAAACAGCAGAGAATGAAATTCTAGTAAAAATGTAAAACTCATAAACAAATAAATGAATTATAATAGTTAATAAGGCAATTTTTCTGGTCTGATGCTTGCCTGGCTTAGACATTAAATAAGGAGCTCAGCACTCGATGGAAACATGCTCGGGATAGGGCGGCATGGTGGCACAGTGGTTAGCACTGCTGCCTCACAGCACCAGGAACCTGGGTTCGATTATCTGTGTGGAGTTTGCACATTCTCCCTGTGTCTGCGTGGGTTTCCTCCAGGTGCTCTGGTTTCCTCCCACAGTCCAAAGATGTGCAGGTTAGGTGGATTGGCCATGCTAAATTGCCCGTAGTGTTCAGGGATGTGTAGATTAGGTGGGTTATAGGGGGATGGGTCTGGGTGGGATGTTCCAATGGTCAGTGTGGACTTGTCGGGCTGAAGGGCCTGTTTCCACACTGTAGGGATTC